CTGTGTGCTCTATTATGTTAGTAAACCAACAACAGTAAAATCAGTCTGTATATGCAGTAAAGCATGCTTGTTATAGTCACTGTGGAACCTAAGGGGTTAAACCTCTGCATTGTGTAAAAAAGCTATTTGATCCTGTCTTCTCTGATCTTCCCCTTCTTTCAATGTCCCCCTCTTGTCTCCTGATCAGACATTTTGTGTGGAGCCACTCTGCACATGATCAGTTTGGTGTGTATTGCTAGAGAGGTTTTTTTTTTTTCTTGGAAAAGTGCATGTGATCAGCATAGGGCCAATCAGCACTATCCAGATAGAGGTCGGGGGCTCTGCATCCTCCTAGAGCAAAATGAAAACTCCTCCTACAAGCTTTAACCAGTGCTCGGCTGGACAGTGATAGAATTCACAAGACTGCTCTAACTGTTGATGAGAAAAGGTATTTAGCAGTTTATATTTACTAAAATAATTCCATTTCCATATTCTGTGCACTGTGGAAGACCAAATATAGTGAATGCAGGGTCCTGGGTTTAGTAACACTTTAAAGCTTTGTACACATGTAAAGTTGTTTTTTTTTTTCATTCAACCCAGCCAGCTCAACGAGCAAAACCCAGATCATCTAACAAAGCGATATTAGTGCAGTGATCTCCCTAGCTGTGCCTTTGTGTTCTGACAGGGGATTTGCCCAAATGCCCCTCCGCCAGAACACACTGATCAGTACTTGCAACCATTGCTTGCCAACGCTAATCGGATGCTGGTTTTCCAGCATGCCCATTCAACAGAATGTTGGACAGGCTGCTGTACAGACTGGCTGAATATCGACCGGTTTCTGTTGCACTGACCGATACCGGCCAAAATTCGGCCTATGCGTACCCGGCCTAAGGCACCCATTAAAATGAATGAGCTGCCAAACCACCATAACCCCTTGACACCGACGTAACACAAATATGAAGTCTCACAGAACTGGGCTTTTTTCTGTGGGGCCGCATATTTGCGTACCTGTCTTTCTGCTGGAAGCACACAACACGGCGCGCTCCCAGCACAAAGACCGCTTTGTCACTGAGAGCACCGGGTCCTGTTCTAACAATCGGGACCTGGGACTCCCAATTTTGGGTCACATGATCGCTGTGATAGCCTCTTGTTTTCTCTCAATGAATGGAGGAGAGAGATACATTGTATCTCTCTAACTCCTGGTATAGAGGTCAGGATCAAAGGTCAGTATTTAAAAAAAAAAATTGGTATCAGTGTCAGTTAGTGTCAGTGTTAGTGTGTTTTAGGTAAAAAAAAAACAAAAAAAAAAACAAAACAAAATGCGCACTATTGTTTCTGGGCTGTACTGTACTACGGGTACAAACAACAAATAACATACACATATATGGTATAACTGCGATTGTCAAGAGCTGAATAATTTATTTTGGGTTGTTATTTGGTGGTAGGTTATGGCAGTAGCAAGAAACACATAGCTAAATAAAAAAATATATTTTTTTTTTACTATTTTGGCCCAGTTTTCATTTGACAATAAAAAAAAAATCAGGAGATATCCATTACCATTTACCACCAAATGAAAGCCCAATTTGTCCTGAAAAAAACAAGGTATAATTCACCTGGATGTACAAGCTAGTTGTGATGATATGTACGGTTTTACTAACACATGTCAACATTGCAAAATTGTGCTTAGGCATTTAGATTTGTTTTACCCTTAGGCATGAAGGGGTTAATATGCTTTAAATCGGACATGAACTATTTTTTTCTAACACAACCATTTTTTTTTGTGATTATAATGTGCATTACCATGAGCATTACTGCAAAGGGGTCGTCAATAAATAACGTGACCTAAATATGTTGAATGTAATTGTTTAAGATATCCTGATAAGGTTTTAGCCTTTTCTTCCCCTGCTATTTTCCATTGTTCAATGTAGTTTTCACATTTTCACTAAACAATAGAATACTTGTCATCATCTGCTTAATGACCAAACTAGTCCAAATCGTTTTTTTCTCCATCATCTCTCATAAATTCAGTGGTTTTGCCTTTGTCTCACACTGGGACACACCCTTGGGTTAATTGTATCTTCTTCCTTTAAAACTATGCCAGTTTATATATTTTATAGGCATTTTCTGAAGTTTTATTGCCTTTTTAATAGGATAACTAAGTCAGCTACAGAAAATTAGCACAAATTCTGCTTCTGTAAGTTTCAAGTCTGCTTCAAATTTTCTCTTTGTGTGCAGGTCTTGATGGTAAATACATTACTAGATTACTGGTTTTATGTGAGTCACCTTACATTAGGAGTACTTATTAAAGTAGAGTTAAAGGGGATCAATAGCATAGCTGCAATTCTCTTTGGTATAAAAGGTTCCCTGTAACACCTCTTCCTCTTTAAATATATACATATAGATTTTTTTTATGGCCCAGGAGGGGGTTGGGAAGGGTAGGTATATATTTGAAACATAAAAGGAAGTTAGATAGCTTCTTCCTAAAGTTTGATAAACCCTCTCTTGTCACAAGTACAAGTGACTCAACTGGAAAATTTTCCCCCTTGCAACAACTTAAAACTTTTACATTTTCCCTCATTTTTAGTCCCATTGACAGTAATCACCTTGACAAATTAAGAGAGGAATCTTCCTAGTGTGAATCTTCCTGACAGAGGCTTTCAATTGGACAAATAGCTTTAGATACATGTTAGTGAAATTTAGCACACAAAGATACACAGCAATTCAAAATGCATAGGTGAAGAAAGTGTCTACAGTTAATAAACATATCATGGTGAATTTTAAATCCACGAGAAGTGAAGGATTTAATAAGAAAAAAAGTTAGGCACAGACCTGTTTCTCTTCAGGTCCACGGGTCCACTAGAATTCCTCACCTTCAGGAATCAAATTAATGATAATGTTTAATGATTTGTCTTCAATCATTTTATCAGAACAAAGTATTTGCTTCATAAATCGTAGCGAATTCATAAAAACAAAAAACAGGGATAAATGAATCACACATTAAACAACCTCTTTATTCCTCAAGAAGTAGTGCTAAGTGTTTTGTAAAGAAAAATGAAGAGAAACAAGAGGCTACCATTGCTGGACACATTCTGAAATGGAAGTTGTGTGGCTGGCTATACCCTTAATAATTTGAGTCACTGTCCTGGAACAAGAATACTGCTAGTGAAGTCAGGGAAAAGTCAGAAAGGCAAGACACCATATCTGTATATTTCGTCCAAGGCCATTACATAATGGCTGGGCAAATAGCATTTTCAAAGGGAACATACAGGCTAACATCAAAATATTACTGTTCAGTTTGCTCATCAAATGCTATTCACTACAGTCCACAGGTCTTTCCACCATTTCCTTTATAAGGATGCATTTTTCTCTTGTTTAAAGTGCACCTATAACATCCAAATACAGGCGTATTTCGGTTTACAAATTTAATGCATTCTCCGGGATGTTTCGTATTGCAAAAAATTCATAAACCAAAATGCGATTTCCCATTGGAATGCATTGAAAACCAATTAATCCGTACCAGAGGTCAGAAAAAAGTAAACAAAACGACTTTTATTTGTTCAAAACTCTTTATAAAGTGCACTTTAAAGGCATAAATACTGTACAGGGACATGATTAAAAATTAATTCATAAATGCATTGAAAACCAATTAATCCATTCCGGAGGTCAGAAAAAAGTGTTTTATCTGTTCAAAACTCTTTATAAAGTGCACTTTAAATGCATAAATACTGTACAGGGACATGATTAATAAACAATTTGTAAATGCATTGAAAACCAATAAATCCATTCCAGAGGTCAGAAAAAAAAGTAAAAAAAAAAAGTCTTATATGTTCAAAACTCTTTATAAAGTGCGCTTTAAAGGCACGGGGCTGGAGCTATAAACCTCCCAGGCGCAATGCATCCTGGGGAAACTTACTTCATATTCCGAAAAAAAATTGGAAATCGATGCATTATTTTCAATGGATTTTCATTAGTAAACCGAAAATTACGTTAACCGAGGCGTTCATAAATCGAGGTACGCTTGTAGTGAGATGAAGACAGCTACAAAGTGCATGTGTGAAAGGTGTGATTGGAGCCTGAATGTAAATAGATATGCATTGAATTGACTTGATCCCTTGCCCTACTGCTCAAAAAATACCAGAAGCAAAAAACACAAAGCTTGCTCTGTATTTGAGTTCTAATGAGAAAAAAAAAAACGGGGAAATGTATTTTTAATAAAATCTTTGTATGCTAGAATTTTTTCAGTACACATGTTTCACAAGCAGGAGGAGCAGGTGACTTGCCATGAATCGAATATGCCTCAGTAATTACAAAATAATGTTACATTCATTGTGATAGGCACTATGAGTATTACTGGTAGGTCCTGAATTCAATTGCTTTCTGCTATGGGGGTTAAAAGCACTTGTTTGCCATTGCCCAACTATAAAAAGACACATTCTACATTGAAGTACATTGCTTTGTTTTGTTTTTTTTTACTCCAAAAATCTATTCTCCTTATTTATTACAATTCAATAAAGCACATTTGGTTAAAAGATAGCTTAGATAAAAACAAAAACGTACCTTCTGTGTCCTGCCTTGTACTTGGTATCAGAGCTCCTGAAGTTATGCTCTATGAAACAAAGACCCATTTTTTTTTTATAATTCTTTTGGGCCACACCTAAAGGAGAAAAAAAGTAGAACCTGTATAATTGGCGATGACACAGACTTGATTATGCAGTCATTCATGTGAAGAAAGGCAACATGCTTCCAATAACATACACGTAGTAAACAAACTGATAAAAAAGAAGATTGGTGAATACTGTATATTTAAAGGCCAACTTTGAAAGCTTTGGATAGGCTTGGAAAGAACAGGCACCTATGTCACGTTTTTGTTGGTATAAGTAACACATATACATTCAAAAAGACTTACAAGTCAACCCCTCATGCTATTATAAAAGATACTTTATTGATGCTTGACAAATACTATCACCCAAAAAGGGCACAAATCTCATAAACATGTTGGTGGAACCAGCTGGTTGGTATCCAAGAGAGAGCAAAGTTACACAGAGACCAAGGAAGGTGACACTATTATTATTTTCTTAAAGTGTTACTAAACCCAGGACCCTGCATTCACTATACCTGGTCTCCCACAGTACACACAACATGGAAGTGAAATTATTTTAGTAAATATAAGCTGCTAAATACCTTTTCTCATCAGCAGTCATGCGACTTCTATCAGTGTTCAGCAAAGCACCGGCTAAAGCTTGTAAGAGGAGTTTTTTTCTCCTCTAGGAAAATGCAAAGCCGCAGATCTCTGTCTGGATAGTGCTGATTGGCCCTGTGCTGATCGCATGCACTCCCACAAGAAAAAAAAAAAAAAAAAAACCTCTCTAGAAATACACACTAAACTGAGCATGTGCATGTGGCTACGGGTAATATAAGATATGAGATAAGATGTGGACATTTCAACAAGAGAAGGGGCAGAGAAAACAGGATCAAACAGCCTTTTTATACAATGCAGAGGATTAACCCCTTAAGTTCCATAGTGAGTATAACAAGCATGCTTTACTGCATATATAGACTGATTTTACTGTTGTGGGTTTAGTAACACTTTAAGTAGAAGTAACAAATAAAATGTGGCAGACAGCAGCAAGGGCTCACTTCAGTTCCAAACAATAAGGCAATGGAGCCCTAATATCTCAGGAAACAGCTCTTAACCCCTTAATGCCAACGTCTCCAAGCCCTTTAAGAAGGTTCTGATGCCGGGAGGTGGAGTTTATGGTCATCTGACCGCCACAATTGGCTGTCATAGAGGTCACATGATCAGAAAGCTCCCAATCCTCAGTAGCGATCGGTAGCTTTCCGTTAGGCACTGATAACTGTGTCGGGACAGCGTAGGGCGCGTGCTACGGCACAGGTTTGTTTACATTTTGGTACGCATATATGCAGCCTCTCGGTTTCAAGGCCCAGCCACTGAGAGGGCACATATGTGTGTACTCTTGGTACAAAGAGGTTAAAGTGGTTGTAAAGGCATGCAGCTCCCCCCAAATACACACCAGAGTCTGATCTTGATGAAGTGATGTGCACAAGAACAAAGGCTCTCTCAGCTCTCTCCCTCCTCATTGGAGCAAGCGGCTTGCTATGGGGGCACTCAGCAGGGGGTAGCCAAGAGTGCTGGCGGGGGACTCAAGAAGAGGAGGATCGGAGCTGCTTTGGTGGAACAAAGCTCCTCTTAACCTCCATTCCCTTCTGCACAGCCGCCAGCTGAACAGTACCACCTACAGCAGGGAGGATGAACTACACCTGCCTGCAAGTGTAATATAGTGCAAACACACTTAATAAAACCTTTTAAAATATTATGGCCTGCACATAGATAACCTCCATTAACCTCCCTGGCGGTCTGATTATTTCAGATTTTTGGTGCTAAAAGCGGTACCATTACTCTGCATGGAAATATGTAGTTTTTTTTATTGTAGGCTGTAATTTTTAGGAATAACTCACTGAAATCTGTCAGAACAAGAGTCTATTAAACATCCCGGGTATGATAACATTGGAAACACAAAATCATAAATTATAATTTAATAAATAATCATAAAAAAATAATAATATCATGATAATACATTTAATTCAATAATATAATCAAACCAAAAACACTGAAATTTGAAATATAGCGCCACGTTCGCACATCGCTGAGCAAAGTCGCAAAATCGTTTTCAGTGTCTGATGACGAATTTCCCCATGAATCAATTATCACTCAAATCTGCAAGTGGTTCTGATTTACTATCACTGTTCTCTAGCTGATCTAAAACCGCTTTTGACCTAAAGGGACGCCATGGACTTTTCTAAGTTTCCAGGCAGAAAGAACAGTAAAAATGCAGATGGGACAGGACAAAGCACTAGGGACAAAATGTATGTGAAATGGTTTGAAACAGCAATGTTTTACTATGTAAAATTTGTTTAGAAAAAAATTAAATTTTTTAAAATTTTCAAATTTCCCGCCGTCACAGGGACCGGAACACAGAAGCCAGATGCCGGCATCGGCCGGAGGAGATGGCCGGGGACGCTGCAGGGGACACATTGCGGGAGCGAAGGACAAGGTAAGCTCTGCAGGGAATCCCTATAAAGCGCCGCATGGTAAGCCCGAGTGTAGCTCGGGGTTACCGCTTTTGGTACTGAAATTTTACCCCGAGCTACACTCGGGAATACCGCTAGGGAGGTTAAAAAGACCACCTGCACAGTATGTCTGTGTACTTACATACTTTAATTCTAGTGAACATGTGGTTACCCCATAAGTATATGAAAATAACTTAAACCTCAAAAATTATTTTTATGTAACGCAGCCAGGGTTTTAGAAAAAAGAAATGAGCGCTCCATGCTGGATACAATTTCTCTGTAAAATGTTGAACTATCAAGCAGCACTTATGTCTGCTTCCAGAAGACTTTCATCTTTTAAGTGGTTGTAAACTCTTCCATATACCCATTGAAGTGACTGGCCTTAGGTGATACACAGGGATGAAACACATAATGCTACATAAGTTGTACCTGTTTATCTGCAGTATTCTCCTTTCTACAGCTGTCCAAAGTCCAGAATTTATACAGCTTGTCTTGTTACAAAAAAAAGGGAGCAGGGAGTTGAAATTACACATGCATTGCACAGTGAAAAGAGCTCAGTGAGGGAATGGACAAACCCCTTTTCGCACAGCAGACAGGAACAGAGCTGAGGCTCATTCAGCTGGAGATCCCTCCATGTCACCTTTTTGCTCCTGGTGTCAAGAAAACCTGTCAGACAGGACTCATGCTGATAGCAGATAAATGAAGCAGACATAATTGACACTTAGGAGTTTATTTACTAAAGCTCCAGAGTACAAAATCAGGCTCACTTCTGCATAGAAACCAATCAGCTTCCAACCTCAGCTTGTTGAATTATGCTTTGACAAAAAAAAACTGGAAGCTAATTAGTTTCTATGCAGAAGTGAGCCTGATTTTGCACTCTCCTGCTTTAGTAAATAAAACCCTTAGCGCTCTGGATAGAGACAAGTACACACTATAGAGGCAAATGCTTTGTTCATATTTTGTATCTGAGGTTTACAACCACTTAAACGTGACTTTAAATTTTTTTTGGTTAAATAAACATGTTATACTTACATGCTCTGTGCAGTGGTTTTGCACAGAGCAACCCCAATCCTCCTCCTCTCCTCTCCTCTAGTGCCCCTAGAGAAGCAGGCAGTAGCATCGTATATCTGCCAAAACCACAATACAGGGCCACTCTGTGCAATCCATCAATACATGTGATCCCCAGTGCTAGATGCTAATACATGCAAAGGCTTAAATAATAACAATACTTTGGATCTTAGATACATATTATATTTTAGTGAAGTCAGTTCCTTCCTGGATATGAAAATAGAAAATAGGTAAACTATCTCTGACTTTAGATTGCAAGCCTACAACACTAAACGCTCAGTAGATTTATGAGAATTTCTCATAACTGTACGAAGGAGAGTGATTTCCATATGGAAGCAGATGGGTTGTGCAAGAGACTGTGAGAATGTGGTTATGAAGATAAACTATTGTGGGAAGCCTTTAAAAAGGTGGTTCAAAGAAGACCGGAAAAGTATCTTATGTCTCACCTGACTGGCAGAGTCCCACCTTCTTCATGGTCTTTCAGTCTGTGCTCTTTGTCACCTTACATCCCTCTAATGATGCTATTACAGTGAAACATGTCAGTGATACAAAGTTTATTGGCGCATAACCTACCTCCCATGTGGTTGCTTCCAGTTTCAAACTCTCTGCTGTTGATTGACGCACAATATCTTGACATGCATTGGACCATGCTTACAGTTATACCAGTGAGCTCGATAAGATACATACAACTGGTGAGATGGCTCTTTTATACGTGGATTGTTCTGCTTACCTCTCTATCCCTTGTTCTTGTTTGGAGCATAGCTGCATCGAGGTTGGCATAAAGAAGGGGTGGCAGCCTATACATTGCAAACATATATTTGTAGAGTACAAATATCATATTTGTTGGGAGCATTATACATATTTCTATAGCAACATAGGGTGGTGTAACCATGAATTCTACTTTTTCCTGTTGGAAGTGTGTCAAAGTCTCAGGGCTCTAAATGATAAACTATGTTGCACCTTATATAAAGCAAAAGTCTAGCGGAAGTGGACATAATTACTGCTTCATATTTTCATATTTTATGGAAGAATCTTATCCTGGTACATAATAATCGTGCAAAAGTTCATTTTTTTTTTTTTACAGTACATTTTTCTTCTACAGGTGAAACTCGAAAAAATTAGAATAATTATCACAATTATGACAAATCACGGCTTGAACTATCTTGCTTTGCATGTAATGAGTCTATCTCATATACTAGTTTCACCTTTTAAGTTGCATTACTGAAATAAATGAACTTTTGCACGAAATTCAAATTTTTCGAGTTTCACCTGTATACAGTATGTCCACACAAAGTCCATGGCTACATATTCTACAAGCTGGGTTGATGACGTCACAAAGGGGTGTGGGCCCCCTGCTGAGGTCACTGGGTGGCCCAGCCCCCTTAGTTTATTTAGCAGCAACTACAAAGCAGAGCTGCTGAACTGGCTCCTGTTTTTATTTACAATACTCTCATTTTTTTGTGAATGAAAAGGGGCACTATGTACCCCATACTCATTCACATAGGGGGCCAGGGATCTGGGGGACCCTTGTTAAAGGGGGCTTCCAGATTCCGATAAGCCCCCCGCCTGCAGACCCACCCAGGGTTGGGGGCATGAGGTCCTTATCCCCCTAACAATGGGGACAACGTGATTTGGGGTGGGGGAGCACCCCTTCCCCAAAGCATGCCCCCATGTTGAGGGCATGTGGCCTTGAATGGTTCAGGAGGGGGATGATCGCTCATCCACCCCCCCCCCATTCTTGATCTGCCAGGCTGCACGCTCGGATAAGGTTCTGGTATGGAATTGAGGGGCGTGGGGTTCCTCTTAAAATCCGTACTGAATCAGAACAGAAGGGCCTGGTAAGGATTGGGGGGAGGATTCCTATGCAGTTTTTTACAATAATTTTTTAATGCCGGCATTCCTTTGTTTACATTCAGCTGTTAGCA